ATAAAAATTGCTAAATGAAATGTAACGCCAGGTTCTTTACAATCACGCCATCAGTCAGGAGCTAATTAAACAGAGCCGGGGGATCTCTAAAGAGACCTCAAACCAGCAATGGTTTAGTTTCTTCTCATCTGCACACCTTAAGATGTTATTAAATTATGCTTGCAAATGACGTCTGGCTGAATTCCCAGTCTCTTACGGAGGTGGAAGTGTCATTTTAATCAGCGCTAAGGCCACGGTGGTGGACATTTTCGAGTTAGGAAAGCTTTTAGGCACCATCGGCACTAATCAGAAAATGCTGTCAAATCTTATTGCATTTAGCTACAATCTCAAGTCTAAATATTCAGTATTATATGCATGTGTTGTTATAATCACCAAATACCTCTTGAAGCGTTTATTTCAATCCTCTCAGGTGCAAGTCAAAGATAATACTTCAAGAGTGTTTTCTTGAGTTATTAAAAGAGACCTCACAGGAATATTTCTGTACTCCACACCATTTAATTAGCATGTAATATATATATATATATATATATATTCAATTCAATAACTGAACTGATAAGCATACTGTCACAGTCAACTTTGAGAAAGCTAGCTACTCCAGGGTAGGTCGGCTTCTTAAATTCTTCGTAGGTAGCATAAACAAAGACCCAAGGCTGATTGAAACAACATCTATATCTCAAAATATATCTCAGAGGCAAACGTGGTACACCATGCAAGAGATATATGCAGTAAACTACACTTCAGAAAGAGAAAGCATGGGGAAAAGGCAGAGAGAATCGACAATGATGCTCCCCGCAGATCCAACACATTCTCGTTATTCTAATTTGGCTTTCACCTCGAGTTTTTGGAAACACTTCTCAGTTTTCAAACACAAACATTCTTCGAATAACGAGAGATTTTGGCAGCAAAATTGAAGTCGTCACCTCGCCGACAGTATGGATGGATTCAAAACAAAAACTCTCTCAGCTTTCATTCTTTCAATTATCACCCGTTCCTATGATTCTAATGGTTTCTTTTCCACAACATATAATGCTGACAACCTGGGAAGAATAGAGGTTGCTTGTGAATGTCTTGAAAAACATCTGGGGACATATTTTGGATGCATCCCACTGGGCCACAGGATGCGTGCAAAACAATAGTTCACACTCATACAGACAATGCATTTTCAGCGTTCGCAAAGCATCATGGGAAATCATGACAATGCTTGGCTCAGCCGCTTCAGTTTGGTTCCTTACTAAAAATAATAAAACAAATGGGAAAAATTAGCAACATGAAAATGCATATACAGCATTGCAAAAAATAAAAATAAAAATGCAAGACTTCCTAAACCGATTGATGTCTACAGAAAGTCTGAATGTGATTTTTTTTTTTGGCAGTTAGAACCTCAGAAATTGTCTGCCCAAGTGTATAAACTATGATGAAACTATGTGAGTAAGAGAATCATAAGTTAGTAAAATTCCTCAGTTATGGTTCTCGACCCTCAGGGATCACTGAATGCAATTCCAAGGGAGGACAGAGATAGAGCACATTGTTCATTCACTTCATGTAGGGCACACTCTCATTCGCGCACATCATAACAAAACCCAAAATAATTCTTAGATTTTCATCCACAGCTGACCCTGAAGAGAACAGGCTTGAAACTAACCATTTCACGGTCCAAAATTTAGGTGGTTGAGTTACTAGGGTTAAATTTTCAGGGCAAATAAGCTATATTTTTGAAAAAAGGTCACAAAACACTTTCGAACAGGAATGAAAACAAATTAGATCTGCAAAACATCAAATTAATTATCATTACTGCAAGTCTGATGACAGTTATACGATCACCCGACAAGGTTGTTTATATAAAACGCATCTGCTTAAATGTTCCTCTGCTCACTTTCCTTCCTTTTTTTCCCTTTTTTTCAGGCTGCCTGTTTAAACCGCCCCCTAATCTGCTTTATTAAACGTCTTCTAAGCATCTATATCTCAGATTAATTAACATGAAGCATAGAAACTAATTACATTTATCATTTAGAAAGCCTACATAAAAAACGAAGCATCTTTCGTTGTTATTTATTTACTTACGAATGTGTGTAGAATTGTAGGTCAGATCCAAGTAAATTTAACCTACCATGCTTATTATGAATTTGTCACGAAATATGATATACATGACACTCCAATCAGCTCTTATTCATATCAAGCAAGTGACCCTTGTGGAAAACAGACTGAGCTGAAAATACAAGAAGTGTGATCTTTTGCATCATGTACAACACCCTTAATTTTAAATGACAACCTGTCACACCTTAAAGAGGATTGTGACCAGCACCCCAATTAATGCGGTGCCAGAAGGTCGCCTGCATTCCTTTCTCTAAACAGACGAAAACAGGATTGATGTCAAAGCCTCCCGCGCATAACTCACAGTCTGACGTGGAAGAGGTGAGTCGGACAGAGAAAGAAAGACAGAAAGAATGGGAGCGAGAAGAATTACAGAGAATGACGGATTGAGACGGAGGGCCCGTTTTTCTCTGCGTCTCCCTGGCAGCAATCTTACGTTTGTATCCATTGGCTCCCAGTGAAAAGGCAGTGAAATATCACCTGTCACCCAATCAGAGCGCAGCACTCATTTCCCAGTGATGCTTTAACAACAGCTGCAGTCCACCATTAATATGTCATTGATAAATCAAAGTAACGTGCACAGGACTTTCCAAAAAAATAAAGTGGATGTAGAAAATGAATGTTGATTATGTATAAAATGAATGTATAATTTTTCTCATTATTCTGAAAGAAAGAAATCAAACGTGACAGTTTATACGACATTTATAATGTTACAAAAGATTTCTATTTCTTTTGAACTTTGTGTCTTCTAACAACTTATTGTGGTTAGGAAAATAAGCCATCAGAGTGTTATCCTGGATGCCTAAAATGTTTTTTCCTTCAGATCTCAATATGGTGACATACATGTGAAATATTCCTTACATTAAGCCATGAAAAACAAAAATCATAATGCATCTTGTTTTTTGTGCTAGGTTCAGTTTCACTACACTGTAAAAAATGACCGTGATTTTAACGGTAAAAGACTGTAAGATCAACATATATGATGCTTTGAAAGACGCAAAGATTTGTAGAGTGTCAATAATACAAGAGGAAAAAACTGCTAAATAATGCCATTATCCTAAGGACAAAATAATTTTGTCACAACAATAATTATAAAATATATTTGTTACATGATTTTATATATTTGCATTTGAAATGTCATCAAAAAATATAACTGCATGGTCAGTAAGTAATATTTTGACACCAGATTAGGAAAACAAAAGGACAGAGAGAAGTCTGTCCTTTCACCGGAAGAATGAATTAAAATTTACAAATGCAATAATCAATCAATCAGTCAATCATTCACAAGATCAATAATATGCATTTAGAAAAAAAGTATACTTTAAAGTTTGGTATTACAGAAACAAAAACACACTTATCTAACATACTGCAAAGATAATCAATCATCACCGGTAGTCAATGGTGATGCTGTAAAAAAAAAAAAAAGCATGTCAGATAAAAGATTCCCCAAGGTATGAACAACAAAACTTTATCAGCTGCACAATACACAGCATGCTTTTCAAGTGCAAGCAGCAAAAATAAATATATAAAAACCAGTAAAGTGCTTTGTTCCAAGGCTGCAAGAAAGGAGATTAATTATAGCCATTGTCATTTAATGAGCTGTAGAGAGTTACCTGTTACAATGCTTCCACACATTCCTCTTTGCGTAAAAAACAAAATCACTTTATTTAATTACTTTGCATCTGTCAAGCCACCACTCTCCCCACATCCTTCCACTTCATCTGAACAACTTGCACTTGAAAACCAGTGAGTCGGAATCTGTCTTACATAAACAACACGCAAGTCATAAAGCTGTGCTGTCATTCATTGCTCCGTGAGAGGTGATTGACGCTCTAAGGTGTTGACTTCTTCTCTTCGAAAGCCAAAGCGCACAATGTACGAGTCATTTTCCAAGGTTTATTGAACGCTCGGCCATGGAAAGGGCAACAAGATCCACTTACACAAGGGCTGTGTGTCACCACAACAATGGAGATAGAGGCAGGAAGCACACTTGGAAATAACAGGAAGGTCAGGCGGATCTGTCTCCATAACAGTGCAGAAAGCATCGACTAAATCTCTTTTATATGAGCACTATGCTGCAATACACATAACATCTCGCACTCAACCACCCTCACTTAAACACAAGAGGAATAGAGAACCAGTACTACTGAAGAACCAAGCCATTGTTACCATCCACTCCTGTAAATTCCAAAATAAACCTGGATGTTCTGGAGTGAGCTTGTGTGTTTCATAAGAATAGATTAGATATGGAAAAAGTAGGCTGCAAAGTTAATCAAAATGATCACAATCGTGATTAAACTGCATAAAAGCTGCCATGTAATTAAAAATATCTCAATGGCCACATCTGTATTCTGCATGTGCTGCATGCTTCAAAATTAACCATTGGTAGTACTCTAATGGGATGTATTGAAGGCATTGTCTTAACAGGAGTTGTTGGAAAAATGGCTAATAAAAATGTATTTAAATATTATACCATTTATAAATCAATGTTATGAAAAATTATTAATATTCCAATTGACTGTGTTCCAAAAATAATTTATAAATAGCATAAAAGTACAATTCTTATTATATAACTCGATTACATCTAAACTGGACAAAGATCTTGTGTGAAAAAAAAAAATCATTCAGTCATAGAAAAAAGTATTCAGTAATTAGAAAGGGAAAAATGTACAGTCATGATCACCAAATAAACCCCAAAGCAAGGGCTTATTGCAACTTAAATAAATAGATAAATGGACAAAAAAAATGTATTTGATTGCGAGAAGAAAAAGGATGTGAGACACATGAAACAAACACAGTGCAAGACACTGGCTACAGGGACAACAGCCATATACACCTGAATGCCATGACTGACCAATCAGGATTGAGTATTCCATAGCGCTGTGTAATAAGTTAGGCAAGTCGTATACCTGCATAAGGGACAGGGGCGTCTTTGTCCAGTGCGACCAGAGGAGGGTCGAGCAGTACAGTGTCCATGTTCTCGGTGATGACACCATGGTAGGACGTCTCGATCCATGGTTTGTGCTTATTCACTACAATGGAGAGAGAAAAGAAACAGAAAAAAAAAGATAATTTAAATTCTGAACTAAAAGTATTTCCAAGTTTCAACAAACATCTCCTAAATAAGAATAAAAAACACAATAGTCAGAGTCTTTTCTCTCTGTTTTCATGCAAAGAATAATGGCAATCGATACGAGTCCAATAAGCATGGGCTGTTTGTCCCAATTCCTCAAATGGCAGCTTCCCTGTCTTCTACAACACGTATCCAGGGAAAAACCCAAATTTATCTGGTCCTGGCATACTCTGTTGTTCCTGCATTTTTTACCGTGGCTGCTGTATAGCAAGAGATACCAAAACAAGATGCTAATCAATGGATGACACAAACGCAATCTCCAACCTAATGAAAGGAAAACATCCGTGCAAGAGTCTTTGTGCATTAAACAGCTTGTACGCAGTGTTTACACTTCTCAGAAACATCTACATGCTATTGGCTCACTAAACTCTCTGTACACAACTAATGCCATGTTCAGTAAGTAACACAACTGTAGGGATTTTTAAGGTTAATTCAAAATCAGATTTTCAGTCAGCTCATTTTGTCTAAACACTTAAAATCCACTATATTATTGCATAACTTCCTAGGCATATGGTGGAAATGTTGGAAAAACAAAACATTAATGTGGGTCATGAAAAGCAATGCGTTAACAGCAATGGCCCTCTTGTAATCAGAAATCCTCCCTCATCATGAGTTAATGGAGTTTTAGATTAGTACTGGCTATTCAGTAACCCCTCACGTGGGTCAGTTCGAGATCCACCAAAGCAATTAACGAAAGAGTAAATTAAACCATTTCACACTTGTGGAGGACAATCTAAACAGTCAAGTCTCAAAGAAAAGTCCTCCTGAAAAGCTCAGTGTCCTCATAACGCATAAGGCAGGGAACAAATCGTCTGATTCAGATGGCCAGATGATTAAACCAGCTGACAATGTCATTTTCAAAGACTACAATCTTGCTTTCAATGAGTTTGTGCCATTTATCTCTCTTTTCCTTGCTCTCTATTTAACTCAGACACACTTACGTGGACAAAACTACATGTTTTTTTCAACGTGATCTTAAGTCATATGTATTTTACATAACGTGGTTCTATAAAATGTACATTTACTTACGTTTTTACAGGCACTAAAACGTACAATACTGACGTATTTTCAGCATTTAAACATACAAAATTGACGTATTGACGACACCTAAAAATGAATCCTTATGAATATTGAAATCGCTGCATTAATTTTATTAGTTTTTAGTTGTCATATGAATTACCTTGTTTTCAGTTGTATTATTAAATTGTTTACTCATTTACTTATGAAATGATAACATTTCGTTTTGTTGTGTGATTTCTGCTGCCAGCTCGTTTCCAAGAATATGCCTACATAATGTTAAACACGACTTCACTTTAAACCTTAAAATAAATAACACATGAGACCAGGCTGGGGTTTTTTCACTCATGCACAAAGGCACACACAAAGAAACACACTTTTTAAAAAAAAAATCATGACTACTATCAAACATCTCACTCACTTTCTCACTTGAAAGTGGCTATTTGAACAGACGCAGATGAATAGCCGGGTTGTATCTATCTAGCTGTGTTACTCATACAAAGACACCTACCTCAAGCTCCAGAGAGGCAAACAAATGTGTGTTGCAGATGTATGAAATAAGAGGTCTGATTCAATGCAGTCTGATATTCCCATTCTGTAGAAAATGAATAAAAATGATCGCAAAAAGGCTTTCATTTAGGCTACGCAGCTTGCATGACACCTCAATACACTAATAAAAGCTTGATTCATTAGGTAAATATTTTTATATTATTAATATATTTATTTGAGTGTTTCATGTGTGAAATGTCACAGGCTGGGAAAAACATGTGGCTGTCATCATGTACACAAGATACAGTAAATAACTGTAATTTGGATCAGTTACTTTCTATTATAATAATACACCTTTTCAGGCTCTAGTCACTGCAAATTCACATCGAACTCTCTCGTTCTCACACCCTCTCTCTCTAATAAGGTTAGTGGTGTCACTAAGAGCAATATCCCTACTCTGTAATCCCTGAGCTATTACCCATGAGATGTCTGCAGCCATTACACAGCATTAGAGCTCCGTGATGGAAGCTAATTCAATGTGGACTTTTCTCTTCCATCCGCTCCCCTGCACTAGAGAGCTCTGCCTCATACACAGCCAACAAAACACAAGACATAATGGCAGATGCATAAGCGTACACACACACCAAAATTTAATTCACATTTACCATTAAGGAATACAACCACTGACAATTATGTTATAAAAAAAAAAGAAGATGGACACTCTTAAACTGTTAGCGAAACGTTGACTTTAAAAAAGCTTTAAAATACCATAAAACTCTTTAAAATACTACTACTACTACTAATAATTGCTATTATTAGTAGTTCTAAAATTTAACTTTACTCACAAAGTGCTTCACATAAATTAAAAACAAACAATTAATAAAATATCATGAATAAAAGAAACCAAAACTAATTAAAAATTAAAAAGTCAAATATAAAAAATATATAATATATTAAAAAATAATATATAAAAATAAATATAAAATATATAAAATAATATGTAATATATATAATAACAAAAAAAATTTATTTGATATATTTACTTTTTAGAAGAAGAAAAAAATATTTTAGCATCTTCCTAGCATCACCCTCCAGTCGGTTCACTCATCTGCCTGTGAGCACCATCCAAATAACCTGAATTGAATTAAAGCAGGTGAGCCCAGAGTGAGGGAGGTAGAAAATTCAGGTCGGGTCTTACAAGAGGACAAGAAAGGGGCTATTATAGAATCAATTATTTATTCAGCTTGATATATAATTATTCCAGCATTTCAAGCACCTGATAAAATGTTGGGAGGAAGTGAACGTTTGCAAATCTACTTTGACCCTTTTTCAACCTGCTATAATGAAAATCCCAGTCAGCATTCCAACGGTAATTAAACTTGGGGACAGCCTGCAGAATAGATGGTGAATTTTACTGCTCTCCCAGTGTCACGCAACAAGCTATTAATTTCTGACCAGTGGACACCGTAACATTACATTCGGCTCATAACATTGGAATTAAACAATAATCGAAACATAGGTGTGGGACCCAGAGGGGAAAAAAAGTGCTAAAGCCAGAGACCAGCAGAGAATGACTAAAGAGAGAGAGAGGAGACCAGCAATATTCATGAATACATACTGCAGAGTGCATTACAATGCCGATTTAGCACGTAGTGTTTTTGTATACGTGGTGTAAACAACAAAAACTGCAGTTAGGACCAGCTAATGGACCTTAGCAGAAAAACAAGTGTTCTTAAGGCTCATTCACCCTCTTCAATAAGAGCATCCTGTTCATAACAAGCTACACTAGAGGATAAAGAAGCCATTAGCCAAATAGCTGGTAAACACGATCTGTGATGGCCGTTGTCTTGAGACAAAGTCCAAGGACTTCAACTTAATCAAAGTCAAAGATCAACCCCAGGCCAGCTAGCATCATCTGCTAGAGCCAAGGAGGGTATTAGTAGAAAATTGTTAATTAACATCCCTTGCACTGTGCAAATGACCAGTACATTGGCTCTGATTTGGAAAAAAAGTACAGAAATGACTATCAGGAAGGCAGTAATTAGCCACAATGACCTAGCATAATCCAATACTAACAGGAAGGAGTTTTCTGGTAGGGGCCGAAGGGTAATTTTCAGATACATTAAGCTCAACCAAGCCGCATCCCACACGTCCACAGAGACGCACTTCTTATGCTTGCATCACTCGTCTTTAATGCTAATTAATGAGGTCATAATCTCAAGCTTTTTCTATGGCAAGCAGTCAGATTTGCAGGTCTTCAGAGATTTCTCATATAGGGGGCCCAGTTGACTAAATTAGCGTTTTATCATGCTATTTTATAGCACAGCCATTAAAAAAATGTTTGCATATTGAGGACTGCTTGAGTTAATTAATGAATGAACAGATCGTTAGGACTGTGTGGTGTCATTCTTGGACATCTGGAAAGCATCGTAAAAGGGTGTTGGGTATTGAGTCGGTGCAGAGGGAGCAGAATGGTGGATTTTACGGTGACCTCTATAAAGGGGGTGAAAGAGTCGAATGGGTTTTAATGTTTTGAATGTTCGGTGGTGGTTTCAGTTGCTCTGGCTAACCTACACAGTCTCCATTAACCCTTAAATGCATACCTCGGGTCTTTAGCGACCCGGGACATCATTCTCTACCCTCTCCCTCCTTCATTTTTTAAAGTTAGACATCAACTTTCTTAGTATTCCTCAATCTATTCATTATAAACAATATAACAAGAAAAAAATAGTACAATATAAAAGAATGCCTGTTTTCTGATTAATTTTTTGTAAAAAAGTGTAAACTGCCATTTGATGCTGGATGTGGTGAATAAGCTGCTAGTGATCAAAATATTGAATATGAAGTCATTTAAAATGATAGTTTTGAGAATATGGTTGAGATCATGAATGTGAGGTAGATGCTGAATGTACTGTGGAAGTGCGCTCTGACGATGACAGCGATGGTAAAATCATCTGCTCAAATTGAACCCTTATAAGTTTCAAAAGGAAACGAAATATGCTTTATTTAATTTTTTCTGTAATTGTTCTTAAAATATCAAGAACATTTTTTGCTATTGCAGCAGTTAGAGGTACATCCGTGCTGGATATATAAGTACGGGTCGCTAAAGACCCGAATATGTAATAATGATTGCCGAAACAATGCATTTAAGGGTTAAAACCCAGTCAACACGTGAGATCATGCGATAATCACAGTGACATCACACGATCCTCATACTGTGATCCTCACGGTGTGAGTAATAGGTGAAATCATTGTGAGTTTACATGATCCTCATACTGTGATCCTCACGGTGTGAGTAGTATATGAAATCATTGTGAGTTCACACGATCCTCGTGACATCATTGTGAGATCAAATTGTTGACTGGGAAGTGATATATTATAAAAATGGCTGTG